ATGACCATGAAAGTGACATCCTAGATAAATGTTATTATTTATATGTATAATAAATAAATAAAGAGCTACAATGGGTCACACACGTTTCTTCTTAAATATATATACCAATTTTTAAGGAGAGCAACATCTTTTTTAAATATACATGTATTTATTAAATCTTAAGGAGAACAACATTTACAGTGTAAGATATTAAAAACTATGTATACTAATTAAGTAGTTAATTAAAACAGTAACAGCATATGCTTTAACAAAAATGACAAGTGAAGGACATAAATGATCGATGACAAGCACAATCATAATAATCATTTTTGGTGTGGCTGTTTTAACAAATTTAAAATCACCTACGAAACAGATAAATAAAAAGTTTAACATGTATTTGAAGGAATTGCAACTTCTAATTAAAATATGTGTTTCTATATAACCTTCTTAACTTGATGTACAAAACATTTAACAAATATCAACCTAAAAGTTTTTAAAATGTTATATTCTTTATTTTAAGCTGATTAAAATGGACTGAATTATTAAATGTTGTAAGATGAACTCATGAAGAGGTATTGAAAATTCAAATACTGCGAAGTTCAACATGTTTGTTTATTTTTTTTTATTATCATAGTTTCTTTTTCTGCTCAGCAGAAACGAATTGGCAGCATTGAGAGGCATTCCTACAACCACATGTTTGCAACTGGCAAGACTAAAATGACAAGATAAAATCACAAACTTTTTCTTGTTTATTCACTAAATGCTTGAAATAACAAGACTAAAACTTCACATTTTCACTTCTTTTCTTCCTCAAACTGATTTGATAAGACTTAGATAAACTGCACGCAAGAGCATTTTTGTATATATGTCTCTACCATACTCAGTACTGAATCAGCTTTCTGTATTTCACTTGGCTCTGCGTGACTTGAATACTTGAGTTTACTGTTAATACATTTCATCTGAATTTGTACCTCAGCATTTAGATGTATATCACATATTTATACATGTACTTGTACTTGTGCGAACAGTCATAAAAGCAGTAGTTGTGCATAAATATATAATGTACAGTTAACAACTAAATTATTCATACCCTTACCAAGTTTTTGTAATTATTTAAGTAAGTGAAAATTGTATTTGTCCTGATTATGCTTCTGGAGAATTCAAGATGACATCTAAAAGGTCCTAATTCAACCTTTCTAGCTTTCATTCTTGAGTTTAATATAAAAAACACCAGCAAACATCAAATTTACAAGGGGTATGAATAATTTAGTTATTGACTTTAAATATAAATACATTCTTAAAAAAGATGGTTAAAATATTTCTTATGAATGATGTATAAAGTGCCATTCAAAATGATCCTGGGCAGCGTTTTAACTAACCGTCAAAAGTACAAACTGGTACAACAGTATAACAGTTTCCTCCCGAACAATGTAAGGGTACAGCCAAATCACAAAAAGAAATAATACGAAAATATAAATAACAAAAGAATGAAATAGCAAATCTTCTGTCTAGATTAGCAACACGCCAAAAGTTTTCTGCAAATTTACCTGACAGAAATTAAGCAACGGTCAAAATTTTGGTAATAGTCATGAAAGTCTAAGAGAATTTTGTGCTTTTTTAAAAAATTTTAATAGCTGACATCTTTTGGGGGGACTTTCACATTTCATATATTTTCAAATATATTGCCTAGTCTTTAGTATGTGATCACAACAGTGGTGTTTCCATGTGTTAGTATAAAGGGGAGGCCCTTCTGGGCATTCAAACAACGAGGATATGCCAGCTTAAATCTATATATATGGTGGATATGCTACTCATACATGATTGACAATTCAAAGTAACCTTTACTTTTTAACTGTATTTAGTTTACCGTAAAATTGTCTTCATTATTCATTTCCAGTCTTTCAAATAACTGTTACGACCAATATACCGAATTAGTAATTGATGCCTTCATGTCTAGATTAAATATGCTTACGATAACCAGAATATTCCACAGATTACCTGAAACTCTCTAAAAATCACTTTTTAACATCTCTATAAACCTTCCACATACTTCATATACATTTTAACATGATACAAGTACAACATGTACACCAAATGTGAACTGTCACTCTATAAAAGACATTAAATGCATAATATTATGTTTCACTATGTACATGTATAGGATGTACAATTGTGTATTAATTTTTCTCCAAAATATATATCCTCTTGAACATAAACACATTAAAAAACTTGTATATTTAAAATCTGTAATTGGAGTCAAATCTTTGAAAGAGCCTTATAATACATTCATTCTATTCTAGATTAAGTAATCTTTCTATACATAAAACAAGAAACAAATTCCACATTACAGTTAAGCTGATTTCTTTTTGCATAAAAATGGGGATTAATAGCAACAATTTTAATTTCCTACGTTTCCATAAAACCAGGTAGACCAATCATTCAACATCCAAAACTGACCCTACACTGATTGGTAAACAGTTCACTACATTTTAGAGATACAAAGTATTACTTTTAGAGTTTTAGAAAATGTACATGAGAACATTATCCCCAAAATGGACATAACCTGCATAGGTTTCCTTTAAAAAAAAATCATTAATTTCTCTAATTAAATATTCAGCGGTAGTAATCATACATGTATGGTGCCAAATGAAGTTAAAAGTAATTAAAACATGATATACATGTACCATCTGTTACGAGCAAGAAGGGTGATTACTAATACACATTAACACAGAGTTAAATTCCTTCAGGCTCCGAACAGACAGTTCATTGAAATAGAGAGAGAGAGAGAGAGAGACTTGGCTTGACAAATGTTAAATTCCAACAACTCATTTACCAACTGTCACAATTATGCTAATAAAATGGATAAAACAACAAAGGCAACAAATCATTATTGCTTCAATGGCAAGAGTTATATTGTTACTGGTCGTAGAGAGTCAAAAACTCATTCACAAAGACAGAGTTGTAAGATTTTTTTTAAAAAGTCTGATCTAAAAACAACTTTGCTAAACATGTATACTGGATGATAAAATGATTAAAGAAACCACTTTTCAGATCAACTGGAAAGAATTTATGAAATACAATTGAGAAATGTAGCGATTTGTCCAATTAAAAAATATTTTTACGATTCCAACAACCTATCATTCTTAAAATATCTGCTTACAGCACACCTTATAGCATTACTCCTCACCAAATATCTGAAAAGCCATTATATCTTCCACTTTTTGTGCTACAGTTAGAACATATTCCAAAGTTATTACAAACAAATGTGCAGCAATGGAATGCATACATGTATCAGTCAGTGAGATGATTGGTGATTACAGATGTGCATCAATTGAATGCATACCAGTCAGTGAAATGATTGGCGATTACAGATGTGCATCAATTGAATGCATACCAGTCAGTGAAATGATTGGTGATTACAGATGTGCATGAATTGAATGCATACCAGTCAGTGAAATGATTGGTGATTACAGATGTGCATTAGTCAAATATGAATACAACACTGTATTTACATGCACACCTGGGTACAGGCCTGTAACGTCACCATCCAAAAGACGCGACAGAAGGACATTTTGTAGGTAAATCAGTAAGTCCCCTTTTGGACCCCCTCATCTTCACCTGGTTTTTCATTCAAGCCTCATATAGACTGTTATTCATCCGGTGTGTTCTTCCCACAAGCAGCCGTTAACCCATTGGATCCACCATGACATTAAATGACACTCATCTGTGTTACACAAAACTGTACAGTGATATTCAAAGGATTAAACAAATGATGCCTTTGGATAATTTCTTAATGCGTAGAACCCTAACAAAATTGACAGTAAATGGTCTTCTCAGCATTATGCAACTCCACATACCGTTACACTGAAAAACACGGACATTTCTGTGTGCACAAAGTGTTTGTGAAATTTGCGAGTGGTTCCAATTCACAAAATTGTTGTGCCATAACGTAAATGTATCCAAACTGACACCAACATTGTATTTGTTAAAATCACAAACGTTTCTCATCTTAAACTTGCTCTCTTTTACAAATCACAAAACAGTACAGATTGCTAGCAGGTGTAAACTGCATGAAAATTTCATTACTTCAGCTGATCTAACAAAGGTTTAACGGAGATGAATATCAAAAACATATCAACAGATTTTAATATTTTCAAATTTCAATTTGTTTTAATATGGATTGCATGACTGTGTACATTACTTTCCAGCCAATAGCCATTGAATACCATTTTCCCCCTATTATATGTACCACTTAACAATACTGAAGATTAAAGGTGACTTCAATACCCAAGTTATATTTACAGTGTATTTCATAGAGAGTTAAGTACATATTTCCCAGTCAAGAGATACGTAACCCTATAAATATTCTAAAGACTACTAGCATATTATATAGTCAAACCTGCTTTAGTGACCACATGTTTTGTGCTTTCTTTTGGCAGAGATTTTCATTGAAACCTGTATATAAAGACTACCTGCAGCCTGCCTGTGGAGACTACATCACCTCGGAGCATTCTTTCATATTGACACATTATATACCGTGTGAGTCAAAAAAAAGTTTAACACCTAGAAAATTGCTAATTATTTTTAAGATCACTAATGAACAGTAAATTATTATACATCTTATGAAAGAGTGTTTTATCCCAAATCATTTGGTATCATTTTTGTGTGGTATGTGTTCACACTTGGATGAACAGGAGGCATTGTTTGTGAGAGTGCAAAAATCGACTTGCGCCAAAGTTGCTCATGTGATGTTTGAATAAAACAATTGGGATTGGAGAATTAAATCGGTTTTTGCAGATCCAAATAGCATCCCTAACAAAATTAATCATGCCACACATATCAAATATCGAATATCAAATATCAAAGAACATTTGTGCGCATGTGTGTGTGGGTGTGTGACTTTGCTTCTGCAAAAAGCATATGCAATGCATTTCATTTGGTACATTCAATTCATTCTCTCACTCCGCTAATCCCAACATAATACATGCTGTAGGCATCACTTTGGCGCAAGTCGATTTTTGCAATCTCGCAAACAATGTCCCCTGTTCATCCAAGCGTGAAAATATACCACACAAAAATGATACCAAACGATTTTGGGTAAAACACTCTTCCATAAGATGTATAATAATTTACTGTTCATAGATGAGTTTTAAAATAATTAGCAATTTTCTAGGTGTAATTTTTTTTTTGACTCACATGGTATATGCCTTCCAAAGAATTACAAGTTTCATGTACAACAAGTCTGCTGAGAGCAACAAGGGCATTCACCCTCATGTATTAGTTAAATAATGTGAATTAATGCCTTCCTAGCTCTGATGAGATGAACCATGTGTCCCTAACCTTGGTTCATGATCAAAGCTGTATAAATCTTGTCTTGCATTCCCTTCTCATCTTCATCTCCATCTGCATCTGTTCTTTCTGCTGCTCCGCCCGAAGGTTCCCGGACCGGTTAAAGTTCATCGAGCCCAAGGTACGGAACCTGAGAGCGATCTTGCTAATGGTTGCTTGAGCGCCTTCCCTTCCAATACTGTCAGTCTCTGTCTTCTCGGTCGATGTTGTGCTCATAAAGCAATCCTGAAGCGAATTCTCGCTGTGAGCACGGTACTTCATTCGGAGGTTTTCAGCGAGGAGGTGATCGTGGACGAAGTTTTCCGGAAGAGGGTTGACGGTCAAGTCCAAGGGACCAAAGTTGTCATCGAGGGATGGTAATCGCACCACTGGATTAGATAGCCGCTTTTGTGGAGATTGAGGGAGTGTCTCCTCCTTGTTTGTTAGGTTTGAATCTCTTGTTATATTCGCATTCACTTCTTCAACCTGGCCGTGAGAGTCTGCAAAGACTTTACTAGAAGCATCAGGTTCATCTGCAGCGTCCACTGGGGCTTGTGTTCTTACCCGACCTAAGGTGCTGTACTTCCTACTCTGATCTTCACCATCTGACAACAATCTTCCTCTCCTCACCCTCTCTTCGTTGGCATTGGCAATCATGTTAGCATTATCAGCAGCATCACGGTGGTAGTTCTTTCGAGGCGTTATTCTACGTAGGTTCAGACTTCTCATGTTTCGTTCCTGATCAACAGCCAGCACGCCGCATGTCGTCAGGATGATCTCTCCATCATGAGAAACCACGCTGTTGTTATGAGGATCATCTTCTGGGTCCACATCGGCATTTCCTCCCAGGATTTCCAGACAGGCTCCCAAGCTCAGCCCGTCAAACGACGTGTCATCGCTAGACGACGAATCAAGCAGGATCTCGTCGTCACTGTCATCGATGCCATCTAGTTCATCCTGGCTCTCCTCATCCTCAGCTAAAGCATGGTTCTCCATCCCGATGCTTTCCGTCTGCGGATTGGACTGCCTCTTCCGTAAGCGTACCTTCTTCAGGGGGTTCAGATTGGAGACCTTGTCCCCCATGGACTGGAAGTATCTGCTCATGACCTGTGCTCTGATAGGCTTGATAAGCTGACGGCTGCTGGGCTGATCAGAAGGGCTCTGCTCACCACCCTGGTTGCCACCTTTGCGCTTGGCAAGGACCGATTCTGGAACAAACTTGTCCTGTAACCACATGGTGAAACGTTTCTGGGACGTGAGACGGATTACCTCTTGGGAGACCCTGCTTTTTTTCCTGGTGAACACAGACAAGTAGAAACATGTATGATTAGAATGTACACAGTCTGAAAAATGACAAACTGACAAGAGATTGCAGACACCCATAACACCACAACCAATAACAACTTCATTTCTGAAACTTTTGTACTTTAGATTGTAAGCAAGATTGACAAGTCATACAAAAGACCAAGTGCAGGTTTACTCAGTGATTTAGCATCTACATGTTGAACAGCTGAACCTCCATTAATCTGTTGGCAACGTCTGCATTGGTCCTTTGGCACGATATTAACCTGCACTTGCTATTCTCCACCAAGGTGTTATATGGGTACCCGGTAGGATGCGACCGTCATTGTTGGTCAAACAGTTTTTGAGCGTCAAGTAATGCCTGACTAGAATGCTCCCCAGGGAGTGGAGATTGTGCACACAGTGTGCGGCCAAGTATTAAATCCGATGACCGGGGTATTCGTATATCTATAAAGCGCTTAGAGACATTGTAGATATATTAAGCGCCATATAAGAGAACATACCAAGAGAACACTTTGGCCGGCAATAGGGCACGGCACTAAACCTATTGCTGGCAGGTCTTAAGGGGAGTGGGATTCTTAATTTTCTGACGGCAATTGAAAAATGGAAATGAATACTCACTTTTCCATCTTGTCCTCAACAACCTTCAGTCCCAGATTATTAGCTGCTCTGGCCTTTGCAAGGGCTTCTACAAGAGCATGAAGGATATCTGAAATTAAAAGTGATATAGAAAAAAAGGAATTTAGAAAATTAAATCAAAGATTGGAATAAACAACAAATAAAAAAAAAGTGCACAAAAACTTGACTGCAGTGTACATAAGTTCCAAGTAAGGAAGCAAGACATACGATTAAGTGAGATATACTGTCTCAAAAACAGAAGAGTAGGCAAAAGAGAAATGCTGTGTAGACATTACATAAGAGAAGAAAACATAGATAGTCTATCCAAAAAACAAATATGAAATTGTGTTGGATTATACACATATGAGGGATATATGTTTTCTAATTCAGAACCCTTGTTATTTGTTTGCTGCGGTACTAACCTTCAGCTGCTTCCTTTGACTGACTAGGCAGCGCTTTCAGAGTGCTGAAGTAACCATCCTGACCCTGAACAGAATGATAGATGCGCACGCAGCGCTGTTTGGCATGGGAGAAGAACGTCGTTGCTGATCCTGACAAAGAGCAATCATAGAATCATTGTTAGGAGAAATTAAACTGAAGGTAATCAAATCAACATGGTCAAACCTGTCTATACAGACCACCTAAGGGAGACAGGAAAAGTGGTCTTTGTGTTCAGGTTCCTTTTATAGTACATGTTTCAATGAGAAACCATTTTCAAAGGAAAAAAATGTGGACTTTGTAGAGAGGTGGTCTTTCTATACAGGTGGTCACTATAAAAGCAGGTTTGACTGTACATGCAGCTCTAATGCTGTAAACAAAGCACTATTAACAAAAACAAAAACTAATGCAAGAATTTCAATAAATTCGTCCCTATTTTCACGAAGTGACGGTAGTGAGAAAAATCGTAACGCAAAGTGTATGCAATTTTTTTTCACTACCGTCACTTCGTGAAAACAGCGACGAATTGTTTAGTCAATATTTCTCAGCTCAGCTGTTCTCACTACAATCAGATGTCGGATCACAATGTTGGATAAAATAAAAATCTGAATAATTCCTGAGGGAGTTTCCAAGGACAACAATGTATTTCAATATCAATATAACTTTGTTTTGCAAAAGTGACACATGCTAGCCTTTGTTATCTTCAAGACTGTGGGTGTACATGTATTTTTGCATGAATATCTTCTATATCCCACTTTTTATGAACAAAGGATTTAAAAAAAATCTAGGGGCTGGTTCTCGAAACCGTCATAAGTGTAACTTCTTAGACATCCCATTGAAACCTGTGTTATGAAATTAACACACGTTTCTACGGGATGTCCACAAACTATAACTTATGACGGTTACAAGAAACTGGCTCCAGATGGATGTCAAAGAAAACGAGAATCAGAGAAGTACTTATTTACCTATGCCCACAGCAGTCATTGCATCTATTGGTATCCTTTCATACTGGGTGATCTTCTCTGCCTCATCATCATAGCTGAAAAAGATAAAAAATACCCAAGAATTACTAATTTAATGTGATAATTGGTAACTAATGGAAAGTACAGTAAAAACTGTGAATAAAGACCAGCCAAGGGAGGCAAAAAAAGTCAAGTAAAAAAAAAAGGAGTACCGTAAGTAAAAAGTGGTCCTCATAGGCAGGTGGTCTTTATGTATAGGTTCCTTAAAGGACAATCCAAACCTTGCAATATTGTTTACTTGTATGAAAGCAGATAAATAAGTTTAAAGGAATGGCGAAAGTTAAAAAATGTATCGGACCAATAATTAGGAAGCTATGAATACTTGAAGTATAAGATCACTAGGTCTAGGTGAACCTCAAATTGGCAGTTTGGTCAGTGGATTGTGACGTAGTCATTGCTTTAGCCCAGCTGCCCTAAGGCGCTCAAAGTGTTGTAAATGGATATAGTTCACATAATAAAACTAGATAATACAATGTACATGTAAAGTCAAAAACTGTCTATAAAGGCCACGCAATGAAAACAGAAAAAGTGGCCTTTCTAGACAGGTTCTAAAACACAAATTTCTTTTTCAAGGGAAACAAAATACATGGCCCCTATAGACCGGTGGCCTTTACAGAGAGGTAGCCACAAAGACAGAGTAGACTGTACCAACCTTGCAATGTAGTAAGCCTTCTCCGATATGATCAGAATGATATCCCTGTCATCCTCACCACTGTCATCAAGATCCCTGTATAAGGAAAAGTAAAAATATTACATCGAGCGGTCAGTGACACAAAGATGTAACTCCATTTTGGCCATGTTGAGAAAAAGTGGTTTATGTGTCACTGAGCAATTAGGCCTTAAGGAGTTAAGTCTATGTTTCACTAGCCATTGACTTCAATGGGGTGTTGGGTGGAGTTAAGTCTTTGTGTTTCTTGGAAAGCCCACATTTTTCTGAACATTTTTATATCAAATACTCATTTTGGCAAAATATGGAGCTACGTCTTTGTGTCACTGAACCCTCGACATGAGCATGAAATAGGATTTTGAAATAAGTACTTGTTGATGCTTCGATGGCTTGATAGCAATAATACCAGCATCAGTATAGGTCTTCTAAATAACCCAAGAAACAGTCATTGAGACCCTATATGATGAAGCTTTGACCATAGAAAAAAGTTGATTTGGATGACGCTTGTTACTTGCTTGAATGGTACATCATGGATGCTCTAATATTTCTGATGCTTTCCACCTGCCTGAGTAATAGTAATTCAGAGCTAAGTATCCTAGGTTTATCCTACCTTCTTTCTTTGGTAGGATTTTATGAAGTTTGAATTTTTTTGGGGAACATCTTAGTTTTAGTTAGCCTCAGTAGGTCTCAGTAGGATGTAAGCTCTATACAAAAAATATAAACGTTGAATAATAGTCAATGAGAGCCCAACATCTATGATTCATCCTTCCTTAATTCATTGAGTGGTTAGCACACAGATTCACACTTGAAAGTGATGAGAAACACGGAGGATATCTAACACAGGTGGAAAGCATGGAGGCCACGCTCCGCTACCTTGCAAAAACCCGCCTTTGTTCTCAAATTAATGGTGTTTTCGCATCGGCGTGACTTCAGGATCGTTGAAACAGTAAGCAATTGCTTACAAAAGGTTATAAATATGGATTTAAACAATCGGCACAATGTGATTCATTTTGACCTACCCTGAGTCACAATCAATAAGCACCCAGCCTCCTAGATTCATCTTGGCTTCATTCTTTGGTAGTAGTAACCTGGAGCATTGTTGAATCCTCTGTTTGATATCTTCCTCATCCACACCATCCCAGACATCTTTACCCATCTCGGCGGATGCCTTCTGCTCATCAATCAATGTGAGATCCTCTTGGATCTCCTGGTTCCCCAACATCAAATCTGTGGGCAACAAGGCAAAAATATTCTGTCTCTTGAGGTCATCCAAGGGAAACAAAAAAAAGTGGCCTCTGTAGACAGGTGGCCTCTCTAGACCGGTTCTACAAAACACAGTCTTTCTTGAGGAAGACAAAATACATGACCACTATACACAGGTGGCCTTTTAGAGAGGTGGCCCTTAACCCTTTGCTTATGGAAACCTGGTGGTCTCTGTGTTAAGCCTATGGGACCTATAAAATTCAGTAGTCAACGGTTTAAGACAGGTTTGACTGTACTCAACAATGCAGCAAAATCAACTGTACTTTCAACAGATTTGCTTAATCCCTGCCTAGATGTTTCATGACTTTCATCCTAAAGTCTTGCCCATCCTAATTCAGATTGAGTAATGATGTTAACACTTGTATGTAATCATATTTTGGACATTTGGCTTGAAATTTCTGCAAGAATTGAGAATTAGGTTGTTCCTATTGAGCACTAGCTCACTGTCTTGGTTTCAAGATCAAGACCTCCCAGCTTTAAGACATCTGCTCCACTTACTAAACAACTAAATCTTCTGGTTGATGTTTCTGCGATGTTCAACACATCACATTTATTCACTATCCAGTTACAAATAGGAATGGCAAATAATTCAATTCAATATAGCTTATTCATTTTCATAAAAATCACATTATAAGAACACATAAATTTGCAAATAGTACTGTAAATAACATACAAATCATTCACTAGAATATACATAAGAACATTAAAATATTAAGCAATAATGGAAAAAGGGAAGTTATAAAATCCAAATAAATGAGTTCATTGAGATATGTCATGAGCTTGTCAAGATATTAAAAAATAAAATAAATATTGAAATATGAACACAGACTGAACTGACCTATTGCCACTTGTCTGAAGGCATCCTTTAACTGGTTCTGCACGTATCTGCTCGCTGAGTTGTACCCGTCTTTCATCAGCCCTGTTAGCTTTCTCTCTCCTGTCCGTGTATAGTCTCCCTTAAGAGCGGCCGTCCCAGCGTACTGCCGGCTGACGATGTCCCCGTTGTTGGCCCACATGTCCTGGTAGATCGTCTTGATGCTGGGGACAAGCCTTTGCTCAGGTAGCAGCAGACCCAGCTTGCGTAGCTGTTGAAGGTTACATCAACATTGTTATGAACGGTGGTACAATGAATGCAACAGTACACTATGTGACTTTAATGCCCCTCTGCACTAGTTTGGCCAGTAGGGATTAAACCTCCCTGCATGGTCACCGACAGGCGGTTATCTCATCAAATCAGCTCTCAATTAACATAAGAAAAAGGGGATCATGGGGGACCAATGGTCACCGATTAGGCATTGTTTGCTATATAGAGGGCGTAAGTAGCTATAGGTAGTGTAGTGGGGCTTTGAAAGTTAACATAAAATTTTGCAAGAGATGACTCCTTGAAATTGTAAATAAGGTCTGGGATTTTGATTCTGTCTCATCAATGTTCCAGCTCATGAATGTAATGAATAGGACGAAAGCACAGAGCCACAAGGTATTATACTCCATCATCCCTTCCGACCACTCAACAAGTACCTAACTGGTCCTGTTCAGACAGTCCATGTGGTTCACCCTGAACACACCTCTCTGCAAGTACCTACCTGTGTTCTGAGCACCACCCTGGCTAGAGCCATCTGAACCACATTGGTCCTGTCCAGACAGTCCATGCAGTTCACCCTGAACACACCTCTCTGAAAGTACCTACCTGTGTTCTGAGCATCACCCAAGCTAGAGCCGTCTGAACCACATTGGTCCTGTCCAGACAGTCCATGCAGTTCACCCTGAACACACCTCTCTGAAAGTACCTACCTGTGTTCTGAGCATCACCCAAGCTAGAGCCGTCTGAACCACATTGGTCCTGTCCAGACAGTCCATGCAGTTCACCCTGAACAAACCTCTCTACAAGTACCTACCTGTGTTCTGAGCACCACCCTGGCTAGAGCCGTCTGAACCACATTGGTCCTGTCCAGACAGTCCATGCAGTTCACCCTGAACACACCTCTCTGCAAGTACCTACCTGTGTTCTGAGCACCACCCTGGCTAGAGCCGTCTGAACCACATTGGTCCTGTCCAGACAGTCCATGCAGTTCACCCTGAACACACCTCTCTGCTCCAGGATCACCCCCTCAGCATCAGCCCTGGATGGGAGACAAACACATTTCATGATCAAGAACATAGTTTGGGCATATTACGCAAACCGGCGAATTAGACACAGAATCAACCTTTTTACATCTACTTCAAACACTAACATTTCTTCCCTTCAATCTTGATATTGCAATAATCTATTGAAATCTTTTTTGTAACTGGTTATCAACTAAACTATTTTTAGGTACTTTCGGTTTAAAGACACCTCCTCAACTTGAGTTTCTAGAAGAATATTTATCGTCTCATCACACATTTATCCTTAAAAAATGTATCTCTTGTCTCATACATTTTTGGAAGATCTCAAGAATTTATTTGCTCTATCAATCTCTCCAGTATTTATAATTTACTCATTATTTTATATGTGATAGCTACACATACATGCTGTCTGTTTGGAGCCAGAAGGGCATTAACTCATTTTCTTTAACACAGAGTAAATGCCCTTCTGGCTCTCAACAGACAATGCGTGCATTATACAGCCAAGTATTATACATAACTTTTCACTTTGCACCTGTCTAATAACTGTCTAATAATAGCTCACACAAAAATTGTTTCACTCCCATATTGGTGTTGTGAGTTTCATATCATCAATCCATTTGAATAAAAGAAATTCATCTTTATTGGGGGCTTACCACTGCACTCTATGGTTTCAAGAAATACGAAACCTGGGAAGTGTTTCACAAAGACTAAGGTCAACTTAAGTTGGACTCAAACTATGGCAGGCCACTCATGCTCTTCAAAAAGATTTGAACCAGATGTCAAATTAAAGGGAAAAAACCTTACAAATTATGGTTTTAGATAATATTGTTTCCTTCTACAATGTATAATGAATTATCAAAAAATGTAAATTTGGTAGATTCGTGACCATGATTTTTACATCCCTTGAGAAACCAATGTCCAAAATGTTTAGAGGAACTAGTGGCATTAACAGCCTGCCATAGTTAAAGTTCAACTTAAAGGTAAAGACCAGATTTGGAAATGCCTCCCTCTCAAAAAATGATATGGAAGCTCTTATTACCAATCATGTGAAAGAATTTGTTTTGACTAATACGTAATGATAGAAATTTTGCTGAGAAACCGCCTACTAATTGATATATTTAGTAAAATATTATATCTATTTGGACCTGATACATATCATGCAAATGTCGCGTAGTCCCATATACATCTTTCTGTGTACAGTGCTTGTAACTTTACCAAGACTGGGCCAAATTTCTTATCATTTTGATGATTCCAAAAGCTTGCAGTAATCACAAGTACTTTATGCTAGATGATCAACCTTTTCCGATTGATTCCACAACATTTCTTTCCCAATGCAATTGCACGACCATCACTGGTCTTTATCTTTAATTCGATCTTTAGTCTTTGTGAAACACTCCCCTGGTCTCCACTTACCAGCAGTATCTCATTTCCTTGATGACGTCTCGGATGCTCTCGAGAAGAACGGACACTTTATCAAAACGTAGGCCTCGACTGCATGATAGAAACAAATGTGAGGTATTACTTACAATAATTCAAATGGCAGCATATGATTGAAAGCAGTATAAATTGTTTCAGAAAGCAAGATTACATAAAGGACAACAACATTTTATAATTTCTCCCATTTTGAATAACCACCTGTAAATCAGATCACATTTCTTGTTCCGTTAAGGGGACTTTTTTTATCAAATCCATTCTACCTATGACCTGTGTATATGATTGAGGAAGACAATAACAAGTTGAGAAATTAATATCTCTACATCTCTAATTTGCATCCACTATGTGATTAGACCACTTATTTTATTTCTTCTTTCCCTTATCGATCATTCTTTTCTGATGGAATCAGGCAACTATTCAAATTTCACACATAATCAGTACTTAGATACCACTTAGTTTCTTTCATGTGGCTCTCATACACTCATCTGGCAGCATATGATTTTGTGGTTGTAACAAGTTCAAACCAGTCCAAACCAGTACTAACCAGTATTCATGGAAGTCAAATGTGATGTAGGTCAGCTTGGGGCTGTCGTACAATAGAACATGCTTCATGAAGGCTGAGCCTACGATAGCCTCTCTGCCGGCCTGTTCGATGAGACTGATGATGGCTACATGACGGTATCGCTGCAGGTCCTCCTCAAAGTGAGTCTTAAAAGCTTCCTGGCTCTCATCATCATCTGCAATCAGAAGGAATTTTTGTTAATTAAATGTTATGTTATTAGATAATTTTAGATTATCATTTTTGTCTTGTAACTATAGCCTCGCTGCCTGCTTGTTCGATCAAAATGATAATGGCTACCTGAGGATATTGCTTCAAGTCCTCCTCAAAGTATCTTTTGAAAGCCTCCTGGGTTTTATCATCATCAACAGTAAAAGAAAATTTCATCTAAAGTTAATGAGTTAAAGAGTTTTTTAGTAATTACTGGAAGGGAATCGTCTTTCTTCCGAAAATCAAAACATACTGGAATATGCATGATCCCTTCAGCTTCACATGCCATTGACTTATACAGCCAAGTCAGTCTTCATGATTACTTCTAGGAAGAAAAAAATAGTTTTGTAGAACCTGCTTAGAAAGGCCACCTTGACAACCTGTCTATAGTGGCAACTATTTCTGTTTTGCTGGGTTGACCTTAGAGCCTATCTGCACTACTTTGGCCAGGAGGCATTAGACCTCCCTGCATGGTCACTAACAGGTGGTTATCTCTTCAAATCAGCTCTCAATCAACATAAGAAAAAGGGGACCATGGGTGACCAATGGTTACCGCTTAGGTATTGTTTGCTATATAGAGGGCGCAAGTAGCTCCAAGTAGTGCAGTCCCGCTTTAATACACAGGTTTGACTGTACTTAATTTGAATGAGATCACAGCGACCTACCTCTATCGATTCTTGGAGGCGGTTTGTACTTGATGCCGGGCTGGCTCCAGAAGACCGGTACCGACCCTCGGACTTGGACAAAGGAAACCGAGTGTTCTGCAGTCTGTAGGATCTGCTCCGTCTCCACATAGTTTGCACACGCCCCACTCTCATCTATGCCTCTTCTCCTGTATCGGGTTCCTTCAAGATGCAAGCAAAAGAAAGAACAATCACAATTTGCGACAATTTGTATGATGGAACACCATTAAAAAGGGTGGTAATGAACAAGATTCAGGAGAGTTTGGCATATTAATATGTTTATTAATACCTTGAAATGCTAGAGCGCCATAGTGGTAGCCGAGCTAAAGCCGGGGTAATAATCGGGAGCTCCAGGAGTGTCAAGTCTGACAGACATGAGCGCTATACAAGAACCCACTATAATTATTGTTATTATTATTATCTCCAGGAATGAGGCAAACCTTGATCATTTCCATTATCACTTCTAAATAAACCAACAAAAAGGATATGCTTCATTAATAGGGATCAATACAATTTTTAAAACTAAAAAACTTTTTTTTTACCCACTTAACATAACTACACATATGCATGATGAGCAGGGAGGATCGATGCATAACTTTCTTACAATCAATCATTATTTTTCACTTTCACATGAATGACTGAGTGACATGACCAAGAACCCTAAGAAAAAAGAGTTTTCATTTGAATTACCTACCCACGTTATCAAGAAAATGGCAATTCCTATGTCGAGCTGAGAAACTTTACATTATGCTAAAATGATCTTGCTTTATACCTCTCTCATACACTTTGGAGTAAAATTTTGAAGATTAATGGGCAAGAATACAATAAATATCTCAGAATAACTGAAGTTATTTCTTGGGGGGTGAGGTTTCCTTTAATTTGACTTACCGGCTCTGAACTTGCTTCTCCTAGAGATGAGCATGAGGTTGAATTTGATGTCCGAGTCATCGCTGTCTGCACCACTGCCCCCGCTCTGGGCTCCTTCCTCTGGAGCAAAGGTCATGCGACACTCCCGAATCTGAACACATCCCTGGACAATGGGGATGATCCATGGCCTTGCTAGCTCTTTGTTCTGTGTGGAAAAAAAGAAGATATAATGATAATCATTTAATAAAAAGTAGATTCTTATATGATACTCAAAAAGGTCTCTATGCGCTTTCTAAATACGTTCACTAGGAAAAAGCATTTAAAGGGCAATCCAAGCCTTCTTGTTCATTTGCATGAATGCAGAAAAATAAGATTAACAGAATGGTAAAAGTTTGAAATAAATCCAAGCAATAATAAGTAAATTGTGAAATTTGAAATATGAGACTTCTCCTTTAAATTCAGCAGAATAAAGGAGTAATCCCATAAAATTGCTCTTAAGTTAAAAAATACACACAGAAAAAGCTCATTCTGGCATACATTTGGGCTACATGTTTATTACTTCCTTGCCTCTTATGATAATTGCTTTTCAAATAGTTTGACATTTCTCATGTCATTTTGCGTGTCCATGAAAATTCTCTTTAATAAATTATGTACTCTGTTAGACAATATAGTTTATTATGATACAGGTCATGAACTAAATGTAGAGTTACACTTCCTTGTCTATAATATTTACATGTGCATTTCCATTATTTTCTTTTTGCTTGGGTTTACTAATTTTGCTGTAATCTTGCTGAAACTATTGACACGTCTTAGCACATGAGGATTTCAATAACTCTGAATGGAAAGATGAATGTACTTTACATGTAATGAGTATGAGGTACATTAACAACCTTTATACAACTGTAAGTTTCACTATTGGCATCTCCATCTTCATACCCAATCACATATAATAATGGTTTAAAGAAAATTGTTTAAAAATTCAACTCTGCATATAAAGTCTAATCTGTTGGGACCACAAACAAATAATTTGACTTTTATGCAAACTTTGACTTTGTGAATAACACATGTTTTGCATACTTAGGTCCAAAAACTGATTTGGTTTTAATAAGGGAGAATTTGATATTTTAATTGTGCAACTTAGAGTTATGTATAATCAAGTGTATTTTATATTTCCTTAATCTAAAGTTTAATGTTTGTATAGTCAAAGAGAGTGAGAGAGTGAGAGAGGGGGAGAGAAACAGTTCTAGGAAGACCAAATAATAATTTATAAAATAAATAATGTGGAGTGGTGTAGCGCAATGTAATATATGTAACATAGTGTTTAATAGATTTACATACATGTAAATCTAAAACTACACTATACTGTACGGTATGTAGAATAAAAGTATGAACTTTGTCAGCACCCAGCAATCTTGTAAGTTTTCATCTTCAAGGAACGGGTGTTTCATCATCACCTGACAGAAGAATGTCATCTATTTAAAGACTTTGATTAATTAATTTCCTCAGGATCAATGACATCCTGTTTCCACCATATTGAATTGTCACTCTCATGCTTTGAAAACGTCACTCTCATGCTTCCTTGTGTCCTATATTCTCCAAGCATTAAAGGTACTATGTCCCATTTGCAGGCGACAAAAAATGCAAAGGCTAAATTCCAACGGCATTTGAAAGATAATACTAATTTAGAACTTTCCTTAAAAAAGGGGGCTTGAAAATGTCTTAAAGTGGGAAAATAACGACTATTAATTGTCAAATCGACTTAGGAGCTATAGAGCCAGTAAGTAATAGTCTGATTTTCAGACCATTGTACCGAATGGTCGTACGTTTTATGCTGCCAAAGATTCAATCAGTTTAATTTTGGCCATTACGAGAAGTGGGTTATTGATGTAGACAAATGCTCATGCTTAGAAACTTTGTATTAAGCGCTATATAAATGTAATTTATTATTATTATTATTATTATGTACCCTTTACAGCTCATTTGATGCTTGTTATTACCAAAGAAGAAAAAAAGGCAGTCAGTCACTCAAGAGTGTCTGACAGTGAAGTCTAGCAAGTAAACAGGTTTCCTTGCATAATTTGAATATTAGGACACGGCTAACGTTTAAATTTCACAGATAGGACATACAAGACATATTCATAATTCCTGCAAAGTTCTACAGAATTTGATGTTGGCTGCAAAAGGAACATAGTATCTTTAACGTGGCTCGGTAACATTGTTGAAGGTTGATGAAAAAATTGTGTAATTTTTGCATGAAATGTTACTTATTATATTCCTTCTCCTGGATTAACTCTCTAACATGCAAAAAATCCTGAAATAATTCTCAAACCACAAAGTTATTTATGTTTTTCTTTTAAGGCATCACTGTGCTACACCCTCTAACAGTAAATTCTCCCAACCATTTTTGAATTTTCCCAACCGTTTTCCCATAAAAATAAGACATAAGACAGGCTTTTAAAAATCTTACAACACTTAAATGTCTGGAATGGTATATAGAACCAATTCACTGCTTTGTGACGATGACGATTACATACACCTAGAAGGAGATTCAAGGCATTGATCAGATCCGTTTTTTCCAATCTTTATCATTAATAATGGTCTGTTTTCACTCAAACTTTCAGATTATATTTAATTGTACATCTAACATTGAAGTCACTAACTTAAGCTCATCTGAACAATGTTACCAAGTACCTTTAAGAGGTAATGTACATGTACATGGTGGTTGGGCTTTTGAAAAGCGAGACTTTGAAACTTCATTGTCTGGCAAATACTAGACAAGATTTTCCCAACACTTGAAAATGCAATTATGATGCTTTTACATAGGCTTATGGTTTAAGTGGGATCCAATCTAAAACTCTTTATATTTTTAATCATCTTATTTAATTGCCAATATAAACAAGTTCCATGCCGTGAAATTAAAAAATGTATCAAAGCAAAAAATAGTGGACAACGTGTTTGAACATTAAATGAACTGTCCTGCATGTGAAAGTGTTTTGTAAAAATGTGTACAGATATATGAGAACGTTCAGGGGTCTGTTTGCATGCAGCTACTCTGTTTTCACTCCAACATGACTTTTGATTTACATACTTCTAAACTCTATATTCTCATTAATATATTTTAGCCCCAGAATTTTTATGGGGGGGGGGGGGGGGGGGGGGGGGGGGGGGGAGGGGTTTAAAACATCATGTATGACCATGGCCTTATGGAAGGTTCAAACACCTATTGTTCTGTAAAGAGATAATCACCTGGGTATCTAAGATATCCTGAAGCATGTGCTGGTTCCAGAAGAACCTTTCATCATAACCTGCTCCTTTATGGGTGTGATGCCTCTGGATCGAGTTTGTCAGGTCACCTGTAGGACTGTAGTAGAACCAGTCTGTTGGCAAAGAAAAAAATATATCAATAAATTTGATGAACACTTTTTAAACAAAGTTTGTCCTTGACAAACTGAAAGCACCCCCAAGACTTGCCTGACATAGCAACAAGTAATGTACACAGACTGGATTCTAAATATTGTAGTTCATTCATTAATAACAGGTTAATGGAATAACTTGACACTAGGTCCCCAGGTACATATTTTCTCAAACTCACTTCTTTCTCATGATTATGGCATGAAAATATCTGTCTTGGGCAAAGGACAACTTTGTTTGAAGCCTACATTTGCGGTAAAAAATACCAATAGCCCTACACAAGTCATAATATAATAATAATAATAATATATAATTTTTATATAGCGCTTAATACAAATGTCTCTAAGCGCTTTACAAATATACTATTACCCCGGTTATTGGATTCAGTCATTGGGTACTACCAATCTCTACAATGAAACCCATCCACCCCCCCCCCCACCCCCCCCCCCCCCCCAAAAAAAAAAAATTATTATAGAACTACAGTATTTGCATACAATCAATATTGACAATCGGAGTATCAGTTTTGTATCACCTTTTTGTTTAATGATGGGAATACAAATCCTTGAAAGGAATGCCGGGTTATTTTTAAGTGATGTATTCAACATGTATCTATTTTCTATCAATATTATCTTACATATGTTTACATTGAAGTGAGTTACTGGACATTATCTATTTTTTTAAAACAAATATTATCTAACATAATGAGATAAACAGGTATATTACGAACTTGAAGTGATGTGCTAACGGTGTATCTATCTTATTTATATACATGTTCATATATATCATCATACATATTTTAGGAATGGATTGGAAGAAAAGATTCAGAAGCATATTGAAAGTGATTATCTTTCTATTCAAATACTTTGACATGCTTTATTTTTCCAGATTGTTTGAACTTGGTCATCCCACTTGAGAGAATACAAGTGAAACATGAAATGAAATGAAATGTACTATATAGTACATGCTCATTGACAAGACCTTTCACTTTCGTATCATCCCTTCATGTACTTTTTAAGGAATGGATTGGGATAAAAGCTTCAAAAGAAAGTGAAAGTGATGCGCCCTCTACATGTACTTTTTAACCATCTTACATACTCGATTTAAAATGAAAAACCACTTTAAAGAAAAAATTAGATCACAAGTTTGATTGATTACTAATTATCTTTTGTCAATGGATAATTATCATTTTGTTCAGTATTTTTAGACAAATATGTTTATTCCTGTTTAAAATGATACCCTATCCATTATCATTTTGTACCCATGGAATGAGCAGTACATCAGAATAAGGGTAGAGTCAAAAGTGAAAAGTGAAAAGTTTCAAAATGCATTGGTGAGCAGTGGTATTGTTTATATGCAGTGCACTGAACAGCAGGTCAGCAGCCCTAGCTGTACTCTTCTAAGAAATAAGATTGCACAGCAGAACAAGAACAGTGCATTAGGCAACTTTACACTTTTGACCTCACCTCATATTTTGATGTAATGCACATTCCATGACTGAAAAATCGTAACAGATGGGGTATAATTTGAAAGAGGAATAAACACACTTTCTAATGACACTGAAAAAAAGTGATAATTATTCCATGAGAAGAGAGATGTAATCAATCAAACTTGAGTTTCAAAACTTTTTTGAGGGATTTACAATATGTACATGTATCCCTATTCTTTGAATCCGACCTGCAACATGAGAGAATTGTAAATCCCCTAATGAAGTGTGTCATTCAATACATGATTTCAAAAAAGAAAAGAAGACATACCAGATGCCTTGGCAAATTGTCAAAAGTGAACTTGCCTTTCGGTTTTTCCCACTCAAGGTTACGTTCTGAGAAAGTCCCAGCAACGCCCCTTAAGAACTTTCTGTGAAACTATTCCTCTTGATCACAAAAACAATCTTAGACATTTTCTATGACAAAGTGGCAAGTTACTCACGCTTTAATAATTGAGATTACACAAAAGTTCAATTGAAGAAAAAAAAGTATTTAAATGAAAAATTACCAAAATGAAAGCTCACGTCATGAGGTTAAAGCAATTTTTTAGGATTAAATAATTGTTACCTTCCTGTAAAATGAATACACATGATTTCTGGTCAGCTAAGAGTAAGACTATAAGCTCTAGTTAAATTTCAGCTTAATTCTTAAGGTTAATCCACTTTGAAAATAATCTAACGGTCATCTAATACTCAAATTTTTTTTAAAGTCACAAATCCATTAAATTTCATATTGAAATGCAGCAAATATCATAAATAAACTTTCGATCGTATGTTTTTCAAGGTCTTCATATTGTGATCTCAACAATGAAATCATGAGATATTTTAATTTAAAGTAGATTTGTTAAAAATCCAAATATCTGTGGTTATAGCATTTCCTGCCCAAACTGAACAGAAATGCAATACAATACATAGCTATTTATATAAATTTCATGCTAAGTTTTTAAGATAGGTCCCAACCCACATTTATCTTTGACATGCTGGGAGACACAATTAAGAGAACAGCAAATGAATTTGAAAAATCCAATCTACAAAATGGCAAATACATGCACCGTTGATTAAAATGTTATGAATTATTGATGTTGCCGAATGATTGTTCCTGTTGCCCTTTCAACATCGAGGGCAATACAAAAGGGAACAAAAATGGGCACAGCGCAGCCTTTCTACATCAGCTGTCAAAACCAGCCATGACTTTCTCCAAAGATACCTCATTTCTGCTCAAGGGACTTTGATGAGATGTGGAGCAATATCAAGGATGGGATAAGGTCGTCCAACTTGATTAAACTCAGGCTGTTCCTTCACCAAACCCACATTCAGACTACCAACATTTATCATATGGCTATATATACAAGAATCGTATAAAAATGTAGTTATACAGTCAAACCTACTTTAACGACCACCTGTCTGCAAAGACCACATTTTTTGTTTTCCTTGAAAATGGTTTCTCATTGAAAAATGTACTAAAGGAACCTGTACATAAAGATCACTTGCCCATAAAGACCACTTTTCTTGTCTCCATTGGGTGGTCTTTACAGACAGGTTTCACTGTATATATATATATATACAATAAATAATTACATTTTTCCAGTCTGAACATCGCATAAAGAAACGTGTAACAAAAACGTTATAACAGAATGCAAGTTTGAGCATCGTTTCAAATGAAAACTTGATAAATAATCTGGGTCACGCTCTAGTCATGACATTGTATCGTACAAATGTTGTATACCGGGTAACTGGATGGGGCTAAGCGTGAGTGAACACCAATGATTGGCCAGCTGTTATGTACACTGACCTTGTCAAAATTAGTTTCTTTGTAGGACATTTCTTTGAACATTTCTTTATATGAGGTTTCTTTATACAACTTTCATATAAATTTCCTATAGTGTGAACGGGTTACAAAAAAAACATGCCTCCTTGCACAATAAAGATGGGACGTGTTTACACAGAATCGAGGCTATTTACCCTGTGGATTACTGCCCTTCCATCTCTCTCCAGTGCAATCCAAATGGGAAAATGCTCCTCATTATTTCGAGGACTTGCATGTCTCGAACAGTCGAGTGTCGCTAGTGCGTGTGACGTAGAAACATGCTTCATTAAAGTTGGAAGCTAGAGCTGAGCTAGAAAACAGACTGCTTCATGTACATGAGGGACACACCCACTCATTATGTTGGAAACATTAACTACAAATCCAGAACAACATGAAGGTGTAGTGAATAGGAAGGCTGGGGTTTTAAACTCCCCCCTCTTTGGCCCGAATTCACAAAGAAGGTTCGTCGACAAACCTTGGTTTTTGTATGTCATATGACGCGTTTTACACATTTTTTACAAACCTGGTTTGTAAAGAACAAAAGGAGGTTTGGCGAAACAAAAGGAGGTTTGACCTCAAACCTTGGTCTGAGCTCAAACCTTGCTTTGTGAATTTGGGCCATTGAGTTTATTTTTTATTTTTTTGTACTTAAATGATCTAAAGACTTACAGCACTATCTTCAAGCTTCAATTTTCTCATTTGATACTATGGAGAAAATAAATTCCCCCTCCCTCCCCCCAAAAATGTATGACCCACTTTCTCATTTATAGAGACTGAAAAAAGGAATACCGGTAGCTATCTCACACCCCCCCCCCCCCCTCCACCCCCTCCTCCCCACCAATGACCAAATTTTGTTAAGTTACATGTAGCTAGTAAAATGCATGATTCTGTAGATCTGAGAGGCTTTTGGGCTATAAACAAGTACCGGGATGTGTCTGTGGTTGATTTTTTTTCTTCTTCAATAACATCATCTGCAGAGAACACGAAAAGCATGAACTTTGAGTTAAAAGGTTATGATTATGAGTTCATGACTCCTTCTGGCTCCATACAGATGCTATTGATCTGTCTATCAACAAATGCTTTCACAGTAATGCACACATTTGCGTATATACAGTCATATACACAGGGTGATAAAATCTAGCCGGTCTGTCTGTTTTGCCATTATTGACTGATGATGATGAATCATCCTGTGTAATAACGTCATTCATAAGGTGTCCAATTTGATGTATGAATGGTGATCAATAAACATTTACTCTGCACGTACAGTGTACATGTACTCATGTAGTAATATTTCACAAGCCTCGGAACGGACCATTTCAGAAATACCGTATATATCATACACGGATGACATTTTGCATTATTATTACAATAACTGTAGTTTACAGATTATTACTTTCTATGTTGTTTTGTTTTTCTTTGTCTTTAGGTTATTGATTTCATGTTTTGCTGCTAGCGGTAGGTCGTTATCACCTTTGCATATATTTATATACATGTATATTTGGTAAACAATTATGTAAAAGACAAGGATTTCTCTCTTTATCAAATACTAAAAGAGAGAATGGAATGTGTTCTACATACATGTACAGTATCTAATTTGAGTAGTTCGTACCAAGTACATTCAAATGTTTTAAGTCTTTGGCATTTTTATGGTAACATCTAACATTTAGCATTTTTACATGTACGCCCTTCTGCAAGCCAAAAAAGGATATATTCTGTCCTTTTTATCTGATTCAGTGAGAAAAAAGTGAAAAAATGGAATTGAATTGAACTGAACTGAACTGGGGACAAATGGCAAGCTACACCCAGGCTATAGACCTTTAAGCAAGCATCAAGCCTTGCACAAGTCATTACTCTGAGGATGTGCTCTCCTCATTAAATCTACATGATGACTCACTGAACTGTACTGTGTATACCGAGTCTTTACTGACACCTGTAAAATATTATCTCTTACACTTAAAAGAGATTTTATAGCTCAGGGAAGAGGGAGAAGAGAAACTACATTTAGAGACCATTCTACAGTCTACATGCTATTTAAAGGAGAAAACTGTTTCTTCTCAAAACAAAAAAAATCAAAGTTTGTGAGTTCAAATCTTTGCCCTCGCTCATCATCATCATCAACATCATCATCATCATCATCACCATCATCACCACCACCACCACTACAATCATAATCGTCAGAAAATGTGCATACACAGTATTATATATGTCACCTATACATCATTCCTATATGTGCTATAGTACCAGTAAAGTGCAAACACTTTCAAGGTATTTTTTAAAGTGTTTACTTTACAATTATGATAAAAATATTTTTTCAAAGCTCCGATGAGGTCCACAAAACTAGATCTTTCTCAATTTGAATAGCAAAAATCAAGAATGAACCCTGTGAAACTGAATTCTACACACCCTCAAGAAAGATTACAGAGAGTCCTTTTCAGGACTCCTCAATCCTCTCTCTCTCACATGGTGCACCCGCAAGCCTACTGTATAGTGATGAAAATGTTTCAACTTCTCAAATCAGACATGTCTCTTCAAACTGACCTACATGTATGTGTACTTGCACTTTAATATTCAGCTTACCGGACTCTGTAAACATGCGATTCAGCTCCTCCAGAATCCGCCTCTCAAGTTTCTCCCGCTCCTTTACCTCTTTCTGAAACAAACAGGAATACAAAATGAAACAGATCACGGATCTGAGAAAGGATGGGTGTGGGGAAACTGATAAAGATTCAATCACATATGCCACAGTAGGCCTACGCTGTCCATCTCTGTGATGTTTTGTTTGTACTTACATTTAAGAACTGAATTGTTCATTTATATGTCTTGTAAATTTAATGTTTTTGGTAACTCAAAAATGAAAGGTGGACTAGTTGAATTAGGGCCTTTGTTGAATACTTTTGGATGTAAGTTTTTTTAATATGTCACATTATCAAGAAACATAAATTGGGACAAGTTAATTTTTCACATACCGTACTTAAAAATTACAAAACTTGGTTATAGGGTATGAATAATTTAGTTTTTAACTGTACACATACATGTGCAAACATCATGTGATGAAATGGATTTCATACAAAGTTTATTCATTTCATCTCTTCTTTTTGGGCCACAGATCTCTTCAATGTTAGTGTTACCGAATTTTTTTAAATCCTGGGCTAAAGCTGAAGATCAAAAGTTTTTTCATTTTAATATCTGCCTCTCTTATGATTACCTGTTCACATACATGGGAGGAAATGACCTAAATTACACTGTAACAAATTTCTTTAATACCCCGTTCGCCCCAAGTTGCATGGCAAATCGACTAAATGACGAAAGAAAGCGGGAGTGCGGCGCTGCAATTGGCAAAGTAATCAAACAAGATTGGAGAAAAAGCGGAGAAGTGATCCGCATGAATATTGCATTCTCGGGTATGATAGGGGTTGATGGAAATTACATTTACGTTAATAATGCAAAAGCCACTGGGGATAATTGAATTGGTGCATGTATAATTTGTGTAAGGTATACTACATTCGTGTGAGGATGCACAGATCTTACATTCGTTACAAAAAGCGCAGAATTCCGATATGCTCTCTTCGTTGGTGCTCAGTGCTGACATGTTTTACAAAGGTATCTGGGGGGCATTTCACAAAACTTGTCATCAGTGACAAATGACAGTTTTTGTTATAAGCTACTGAAATCCTTGCTTCTGATTGGTTATCAGCAAATTTGTCACTGATTTTGTTTCATTTGTCATTGAAAAAAGGCTTTGTGAAACGGCCCCTGTATTTCAAAAATACATTGCATCCTGTAAATCAAATTGGTTAATTAACTGCATCTAACTCAATTATTTTCCTCATGCATTGAAGTAATAAATCATACCTGCGCTCTCTCTCTAACTGTACTAAGTCCATGATGACAACACTCCAATTAACATGTTTTTCAGGCAAAACAATATATCATGTCAAACTGAGTTTAATATTCATAACTCTTGTAGAGATGTTTTTGGGGTTTTTCGTAACTCAAGAATGAAAGATCGACTGGCTGAATTAGGGCCTTTGTTGAATACTTTAAGATGTAAGCTTTAATAGGTCACGTTCTCACGACACTTCAATTGGGGCAAATTCATTTTTCACATACCGGTACCCGTACTTAAATATTACAAAAGTTGGTTTATTAGGCTATGAATAATTTAGTTGTTTACTGTACATGTATGTGAATTTTGACGTTGGTGCCAGTATAATTAAGATTTTGAGCAAGTTTTTCTTTGCATCATTAGGTATACATTTTTCTAGTCCAAACAAACAAAATTGATAAGAGAATTTTTATCATCTATGTTTTTCTGATATATCAACAACATAACTTTAAGAATTGTTTTTTGTAATGTAGTTTGAAATATAGTTTCAGGTTAAAAAACAAATCTGTATATATTGACACATATATTCTTGACCATTACTCACCCAAACAATCGTACCCGATATTACTAGTATACAACTTTCATTCACTTTCATTGACTAGATAATATTGCTTTTCTGATCTTACTTTTCATAGATTGTGAATATATATATTCTTATAATGTAAGCTAAACATGACGTTTTATCTGGTTGCTGCTATTGATTTAGAGCCAGTTCATTGTTTTGCATGTTTGTTTTATAATTTTCTTTTTTTCTTTCTTTTATTTTACAAATGCAATCCAAGTATTCATTTCTTGGTGATTTCCTAGCATTATGAATTTGAAATAAATATGCTAGATAGAAAAAAATACAAAAATACAAAAACAAATAAAAATACGAGATTACTGAAATTACCTTTTTGACCTGTGCCACTGACTTGATGCTATTCCATGTTTTGGCAAGTGATTTCTGTTGACCCTCTGCTGGACCTAGTATCAAGTTAGCCTTCTGACGGATCCCAAAGTGGTGCTTATCACATCTCTGAAACAAGAAATATAAAAAGAAATACATGATAAAACACAGGAGAGAGAAGTTCTAAACATTTGAAACAACTATATTGTAACAATCCATTGAATAAGTTTTAAAACCTTGTTTGTTTTAATTTTTTTATTCATTTTTATAATTTTTTTTTTTACTTGTTCAGTTCGAAAATTCTAGGTGAATTCTTATGATTTTATAATTCACAAGTAATATGAAGAAAGACAAACTTTCCTTATAAAAATGACCTAAAAGCTACCTTCTATGTCATTCTGTACCAAAGTATATGAAATTTAATATTTCATAAATTTGATGAATGGTTTATGAAACCCACATGTTTTGAAAGTAACTCATATTTCTTAATATATCATATCGTGAATTTAAAGATTTTAAAAATAAAATATGTATAATATTCTTTATTCAAATGAGAAAACTATCTGGAAATGTCAGTCTGCAATGCTTGGAGTTGATTGAATATAACACCTACTTTCATTCCAAGTTTTGTTCTTTTACTTTATTACAATTATCAAAAGTATTTAAATGTTCTGAATCAGTGTCTTACATTACATTCTTTTTTGTTAATACTGTTTCTACCATCTTACAAAATCCTGCTGTTCTAAGTCACTCCACAGGCCCAAACTGCCTTTTAAAATAAAATGCACACCCACATACAAATTTGTACCAATCTATATGCCGTCATGAAATATGATGAATCTACTCAATCATCATACATAATCTTTATTCCTTTGATAAGAAATATCACAAGTATCACCACAGCTTTTGTTTTTTGCCAAAATATACAATCATTTCAGATGGGATCTATCTTGATAAGCACTGTGGGATAAAGATGTATGAGCTGCCTGCATAATTCATCCAATGCATACAGACTTAATGTGAGTGCATTGAGGATGACTAATATGTGCTGCATGGTATATGTATGAAGACATCTATCATCATTTTGAAATACATTATTCAAAATTGAAGGACTGTTTATCATCTACATAGATCTTGGAGATATGCAGTAGTTAAAGGGAAATCCAACCATGATATTCTAGAGGAAAGCGGAAAAATCAAAGAAGTAAACTGGTGAAAGTTTGAATGAAATCAGACCGAAAATATGAGAGTTGAGAACTTTTGAAAGATGTAATCACTGGAGGTGTTGGCTCTTCAAATCAACTGAATCGGTAATGTCTCTGTTATGTATTGACGGACAATTTCCCCATTTGTTCCAACACAAAATGATTTTTTTTCTCTCTTTAGAGGACCTATAATAATATGCTACCCACTATATATTTTGAGTAGTACCCCAAGGGAGAAGACACTTATAAGGAAAACAGAATTAATGTTATTTTTTGTACACAATAAACGTGAGAATTATCCACGACTACCTCAAAATCCACTGAATAAACTGCCAACTTGAGATTCACATATAGACTCAGTGATCTCATATTTCAAACATTTATAACTTTCTTATTATCCGTCCAATTTATATCAAACTCTTGCTTTTATATTTCTCTTATTCATACAAATGAACTTATTACAACGGTTGGATTGCCCTTTAAGTAGTCCCTGGGATATACATTCTGCGTAACTTTCCAATATAACTATTTATGTGCATGAATATTCTGTCGCCCACGGCTGAGTGTTTGTATATGAATGTACCTCAGTGACTCAGCTGCACACAAATGAATTCATACATGTACATGCAGTTCATCATTCAATCCTACCTTCTTTGTGCTTGATAAAAGACATTTTAAGTGAAGATGAAACAAGATCGCAAATACTTTTGAAAAATCAATCCAAAGGAATTTTAATAGCCTAGCTAGTGCGTCACCTACTGAAAAGTGTGAACAGGACAATAGTGTATTGCGTACAATGTAATCCAAACATGATTTCTATGGGATGTACAATAGGGTATTGAAATTGCCCTTGAGTCAATTTTTGTGAGAAAAAAAATTGTGATCATGTTAAGTGATTTGCCAATTTGAATGTTACAGTGCACTGCCATGGCTTTGACCCAAAGCCTTCTTATCTTTAAGTGTTTAAACTATTGGACTAGCTAAGTATAAACCTTCAACAACTTTTTTAAATTCATTCACTGCATGTCAAAGGACAATATGCAGGGAAGAGATTATTTCTTGCTCATTTACCTTACATATGGTAAAAACATAAATACGAGCACATATGGAATATGGAACATCTTGGAGTGGATGACATGTTAATGAACCATATGTTTGCATTCAAGCAAAGTACATGTACTTTTTCCCCTCTATCTCAGTACTCCACAATACCTCTCACTTTGAGGGCTTTGAGTTCTTGCCATTTTTAGAATGACATCAGTCTGATGACAGCCAAACTCTCGACGTGATATAACTTTTTTCTAATGTTTAGTTTCTTTTTAAATTAATGTACTTTTAAAAGAAGATATCTTTTCATAAGACTAAAAAATGTGTGCGAAATGAAATATCACTACTAGAATAAAAAGTACAGACTCTTGCCCAGTGAAAACATCATGGGAATACGTACATGCAGCCCGTGTGACTGGGATATGAGGTTAGTTTCAATTTCTTGTGGTAGCTGAATTGTATAGGTCTCTTAAAGAGCCAAGATATAATTCACACATATCAGTACTATGACACAAACTGCTCCATAATTTTGTACACTAACCAAGTTCCTACCTTCAATCCCAAACTATCTCAAACTTTGAGGGCTTTGAGTTCAGTCTTGCCATTCTCAAAATGATACCCAACTGGTGACATTCAAATTCTCCAGGTGAGATAACATTTTTTCCTTAAAGTTCAGCTTCTTTTCTTTTTATAAGACACATACAATGTGTGAGAAATAGAATACTACACCTAGAATGGAAAGTACACGCACTAGCCAGATCAAAACATCATGGAATAGACATCTGGGCTGCACAAATCACAAAGATCAATTGTACAACATATGGTCTTGTGACAATTGCTCCACAATTGTCCACACTTACCGAATTCCTGACTTGAAACCTCATTCAACCACTCCATTTTACCCTAACCTTCAACAAAATTGTGACCCTAACCCTAATACTACGGGTATACTTTTGACAAAATAATTCCCAGAGCAATTGTATCTGGACCAAAAAATCAGATCGTCCCAATCTTGCAAGATTTTTTTAGCAATATAGAAGCCGGTTCGTTGCATTTGATCATCTCATGAACTGTGCGATAATCAATTGTTTGGATGCTTCTATAATTTAACATTATAAGTGGATGTTCAAGAAATGAATCTGGATACATGTATATTTTAGCAAAATATATTTCATTTGGCAAATTATTCATAGAGGCTTATTTTGCCTTCTAACGCATTGGGTAAATTGTGAGCTTTTGAAATCCATGTCAGTCCTGCGGAAATCAACCCCTCTTAGTGACAGAAATCTATGAGTTCAAGCTTAAGGACTGTAACACAATAACACAAATCTTTTTTATACCACAAGATACAGGTAATAATTATGTGAATATCATTATTGATTATTCACGTAGGCCCCGAAAGGTTAGCCCCTAGCTCAAGCTGCCATGTGAACTCAACCTCGGCGGCTAGGTGGACTTCTCAGGGGTTCGTTTTACGTCACCACGCAATTTGAGATATTCTACGGAGTGCGGCTAAAAATAGAAAGTGCAGTTGACGGCCGACTGCAACAGGCAGTGATGAAATTGTTTACTTGCGCTTCATGAACATCCAGATTGGAGCACCTTTTCAATAAAAATGCAATATTTGGTTCATTTTTATTAGCTCTGTGAATTTCTTTGTTTCAGGCATGATGACAGTATTGGCATTTCTTGTTGGAAGCAATACATGTTCATGTAGGAACAGAGAGAGAAGGTATTTTGAGAGGGAGGGGGTATATGTAGTATAGGTACCACATAGGTTAATTGTGTCAAAATGTACATGTATAGATGTACTACAGCAAAAGGTATGATATAGCATTCCTGTAGCATTCCTAAAGCCAACCATTTCAGAGAAAAACATATACATGTAAATAGCAATGTATATAAAACATGAAACAAAACTTAAAACCTTTACCGGTAAAACTAAAATTGTAAAGTTGTAATCTGACCAAACACCCAAGTTCAATGCTATAAAAAATACCTCCAATGGCATGATAAACATAAATTTTGGTTTTTGATAATGTTAGAATAAAAGGTTATTGCTTGTAGATGAAAGTGCATTTTATTTCACCCTCATTCAGATACAGTTACAATAATACATAATTAAAAGAAGAATGTTACATGGTTAGTTCTAAATATACATGATGCATTGCATAATATATGTGTACAAGAATCAAAGCAAGATAATCAAAACAACTTAATTACGGTAGCCTAATCCCTACTTCAAACTAATTGAGATAATGGTCATGGATACATGTACAGTACATGTATGGTACATTTTGTTTTTAGAAACAATTGTCATTGGCTCAAAGATCAATGTATAAAAGTTAAAGCTAATCTTGAGCTCTGGTATAGGCATCGTATGTCGAGAGAACATGGCTATAATTCATGCTGGATTGTTTATCCTGCAGTAGATTGATTGTTAAAACCACTAAAATAAAAACAACCTCACAAAAACTTGCTAAAAAATAATCTTCAATAAAAACCACAACTTTCATTTGCACATACTGCAGCTGTGTTAAGCACAGGGTGTCGGGCATACTTAATTACCTCAATTTCTCTGTCTATGCTCATTACTCAGCCCCTACACATTTTCTACCAAAATCGTTTGCCGCATGTCATTTAGTTGTAATCTTGAACATTCAGTGTAAGTTTTGTTGGATTCAGTGAAAAATTATTTTCTATCATTACCAGAACTCAGCTTATCTTTAATACCATTCTGGGCTTTCTGGCTCGCAATGTTAATTCAAACAATATTTCAGATCTTCTGAGTTGCTTTTGTTTTGAATGTTAGGCTTCCTGGGAGTAATTTCAATTTTTGTAACGAAATATTTAGCTTGTCAGCAAAGTCAGATTTTG